AATTCCTGAGAGGAAGAATGCTCGACTATTAAAATATCTTTGAAAAGATATTGAACATATAAGTGGTTGTGTTGTCATTCCTTCTACTATGAAATGTTTTGACTAGAGTACTGTGTTTCATAAAGCAGATATGAGACTTCTTTAGATTTAAAGTATTTTGAAGGACTGTGACTTTTTGTTGAGAAGTATTGTATTATAGTCCTAAAAATATTGTTAAGGAGAATAACTAACTCTGCAAAGAAAGGATAGGACCTGATAATCAATAATAAGTACTTTTGAGTATCACATTGAGTAGAAGATTCTGTGTAGTTTATTATTTAAGCAAGATAAAGTGCGGACTCTGACCTCAAGGAACTTGCTTTCTAGAAGAATGTATTAGTAAAAACCAGCTGGGCACAGTGGCTTGCGTCTGTAATCCTAGTACTTGGGAGGCCAAGGACGAAGGATTGCTTTAAACCAGGAGTTCAAGACCATCCTAAGCAACAGCAAGACCCCATCTCTACAAAAATAGAAAATTAGGCAGATATATGCCTGTAGTCTCAAGCTACTCAAGAGGCGAAGGCAGGAGGAATTTCTTGGGCCTAGGAATTTGAGGTTGCAACAAGCTGTGATGACACCAACTGTGTTCTAGCCTGACTAGAGTGAGACACTGTCTCAAAAAAAAAAGAAACTCATGGAAAACAGTGATGCCTTTAAACACCAAGCAGTTTTAGAGTCAAAATGATTTAAACTTGAAAAGGGGAGAGAAAATAGGGAAGAAAAAAAATCTTTTAAATATGTTCTGTTTTTTTATCTGTTGCTTTATACTTGTAAATTAAAACAGTAAATGGAAGAAGCTGGAAGATTTTCATGTTTGAAATATAATGCTATGAGTTATACTATCAGAAGTAGTTTAAGAAAATAGTGATCAATGGAATTATGCTGCTTTGCCCTTTTTAATTATGTAGTAACAAACTTTTCTTTTGTTTTTTTGAGACAGTGTCTCACTATGTCACCCTTGGTAGAGTGCTGTGGCATCATAGCTTACAACAGCCTCAAACTCTTGAGCTTAGTGATTCCTTGCCTCAGCTGCCCAAGTAGCTGGGACTACAGGTGCCTGCCACAATGTCCGGCTATTTTTTTTTTTTTTTTTAGACAGAGTCTCACTATGTGGCTCTCGGTAGAGTGCTGTGACATCACAGCTCACAGCAACCTCAAGGTCTTGGGCTTAAGAGATTCTCCTCCATCAGCCTCCCAAGTAGCTGGAACTATAGGCGTCCGCCACAATGCCTGGCAATTTTTTGATTGCAGTTGTCATTGTTGTTCAGCAGGCCCCTGCCATGCTTGTCCACCAGCCCTGGTGCATGTGGCTGGGGCCCTAACCATTGGGCTACAGGTGCAGAGCCAGTAGTAACAAACTATTAATCAAGATGTATTTATATTAGCCTTGTCCAGTCTTTTCTGGTATAGTATATTGGACTAATAGCCAATTACTCATTCATTTGTAAAATACGTAATTTCAAAACTTTCTTTTCAAAGTGATTATAAATTACATAATTATAATAGATGCCATTTTAGTATCTTGTTTATAAGAAAGCTGCTACTAATGTCCAGTTGATTATATCTTTGTGAAATATATAGGTGGTGACCTGTCACATTGGTTACTTAGGATATTGACTTTGAAGAAGATTGTCTTGTGAGGACATTGTAGATTTTGGTTTTTGCAATGTTTTATAGGTTTCTGAAATCCATGCCTTTCTACTGAAAGGGTATTTCAAGCTGTACTTTCTATAGTTTACAAACAATAGATTTTTTTTCTTTTCTAAATTTATAATTTTGTTATAAAGTGGACTATATTTTTCAACATCCCTTGATGTTGCAGATTCTGGGCTGGGCCCCAGGGCGTCCTCTACCTTTGTTCTCTTTGAAAATTATCAAATCAATATTTACTATTGTGGAAGAAAAGATTGTAGGAAGTCCAAGGATTTTTTTTTTTTTTCCACTTTGTGGGCCTGCTTAATAGAAAATAGGTTATATTCTTAATGCTTTGCTAAAATGGAATTCTTCATGTAACATTGGACAATTGATATTTCAATTCTTTAATAATTTAGAAGTCTCTTTCCTGGGCCCTGTTTGATACTTGGAATGTACTTCAAGATGATTTTTTAAAATCTTTGCTTGTGTTAGATGAGCCATTTTAATTTTTCTGACATATCAATGTACACATTGAAATGTGTACAAGTGTTCAGAATTTGAGTCACTGCTTTACCTAAAGTTTTGCTTTATTAGCCTAAGATTTATGGAACTACCTATAAACTTGAATTTTGGTAATCCAGCTTTGCCTTGCCCCTTCCTTTCCTTACTTAGAGTTTAATATATTTCCATTCCTCTTGGGTTTCTCTTCTTCTGTAGGATGTTGGGAAGTCTGGCATCGATAATTCCTGAGAGGAAGAATGCTCACCACAGTATTCGTCAGAGTTTGGATTCACATGATAATGTAGAAGTTGAAGCTGCTGTTTTTGCTGCTGCAAACTTCTCTGCACAGTCAAAGTAAGCGTGGGGCTTTTAGTAATTTGGCCTTCCAGGAAAAGTTTTCGAAGGAATAATCAATGTATATAAACACATACACAAGGGATACAGACAAAATGTAAATGGCAAGGTATATTTTTCAAGAGGTTTTATATCTGTGGGGAAATAAGACTTAAATACACAAATTAGAAAATTTAAGTATAAAAGGTCACGTTACTTATAAGTGAAATGAGTTTCCAGAAGCATAAGATCAGCATAGATGAGTTAGAGAAGATTTCATTGGGTAACAGAAGCTTTGTCCACTAACAAGCCTTTCCCAAACAGACATTTATAATACAGGCAGTCCCCAGGGTATGGCTGGCTGGCCTGCTTTACGGTGTTGTGTACTTACAAAAGAGCTCCCAAGGCTCTCCATAAGGATAATTTGTAACTAAATAACTAAATTAATAATTCAGGAACTAGTTTCTTCCACACATATAAAGAAACCCACATGGCACAGGTGGTTTGTTGCCGTGATATCTTTCCGCTAGCAGCTGGTCTCACTGCTCATGCAGTAACTTGTGCATAGCATCACTTTTGTCTTATTTGTCTGACTTTGTGAGTCTGTGTTTACCCTTATGGAGACTGTGTCTCCGAAGAGAAAATCCACTAACGTCCAGATGAGTCTGCAGTGAAGGGAAAGGTGATTGCAATGGAAACAAAAGTAGAAATAATTAAGTGTTTGGAGAAAGGCTGGATGCCATCGTTGATTGGGAAGCATTAGGCTTCAGTTAATCAATTATAAAGGATAAAGTAAGAATAATGGAGCATGTGTGAAAAGCAGTACTCCAATGAAAGCTTTAGTTATTGCTAAGTAGTGTAAAAGATTAATTATTGAAATGGAAAGATAATTTGGCTAGGAGATCAAAATAAATTTTAACATTCCTATTAGATGAGCTTTGATACATTCGGTGAGTGTTAATCTATTTTTTGAAATTTCTCTGATCTCTGATTTAACCATTTTTAATATAAATTTGTTTTTATGCTCTGTTTGTTTGAATTAAAAGAAAGAGCATAATAGTTTCTATAATTTA